AAACCCTAAACCCTACATAATCTCTTTTTTGACCCTTTTCAGAGGCCCCGGGCCTCGAGCCATGCCTTGCGCTCCTTGTTCAGGCGCTCCCAACGCTGCATTGCCATTCGGTCTCTTGCCTCCAAGACAGTAGGTGAGGGGTTTTGTGTTTTTGGGATAAGGGTTTAGGGTTAGGGTTTAGGGTTTAGGGTGCGGGGCCTGGGGTTTGGGTTCGAGTTTGGGAATTTAGATCTGGGCCTAGTGCTAAGGGTGGAGAGTGTATTTGGCATCTGGTCTGCTGCTTGGGCTATCCTAAAAGCGCTGTTCGCGGGCGAGCACCAAGACTTGAAAAGAAAAAACTAAAATCGTCAGAGACTGCATGGATCCGGTCAAGGCATGGCGGCTTCTCTAAAACTCGTGAAGGCTTGATGTTCTTGCATGTTCACTTGGCATTTGCCAGGCCTTTAACTTAAACCCTGGAACGCAGCCCGCTATCCCAAAACCTGTGCTGACTCCATGCAAACATCCTTCGTCCTTCACCCCAGACCTTAAGTACCCCAAATAAAATCCTACCTGAACAAAACCTGAAATTCCCAAAATAGTGGGACCCCAATACTGACCCAAAAATACTATAGTCCTTATTATTGGGACACCCGAAATGGTACCCCTGATTTTGGGAAACCCCTATAGCCCCAGCCTCCTGTAACTCCTGCTCTTCCTCGGAGTCCAAGGCCTTTGCATCAGCATCCCTAGCTTCATTCATGTTGTGGATAGCTCTCAGGGGTTTAGGGATTTAGGGGTTTAGGTTAAGGGTATAGGAGGGTTTAGGGTTTCGGGTTTAGGGTACCCCCTGCTGTTGGAATCTGCCTCCAGCATGACTATGAATGACATGACTGGCAGACTGACACTTGTCAGCACGCCTGGACAGGGCTTCTGACCAGTATGATGGTCCTCCGTCAGCGGAGGACCGCACCAACCCCAAACCACTACTTGTGGCCTCAAACGCAAACGCAAAACCCTCAACCTCAAGCATCGAAAAAATTCCCAAAGCTCCAAAGTCTCGCACAAAACTACATTGCAGATCCATCAGGGCCTGGGACCCTACTCCCTTTTTTTCCGGTAGGGTCCCTAAACCTCAAACCCTTGGCCCGAAACGCTCACAGCCTAAAACCTGGCGGAGGGCCTCAGCTGCAGCTTTGTCCATCCAAGCCTGCGCCGTGCTACGGCAATCGGATGGCTGAGGGCTCAGGATTAAGGGGCTCATGGGTTCAGGAGTCTCGGTTGGCTGTAAGGTTTTTGATTTTGGGACAATAACAACCAAAGTAATAACAACCGCAATAGCAATCATGATCATGACAACAACAATAGTAACAATAACTAAAGGATTTAGACATCCGAGGATCTGGGATTTGCGTTTGGGCTTTCGAAGTTCCGGGGTCAGGCATGCGAAGTACTACTTGAAATGAGGCTTCCCCTTGGAGATTCATGTACAATTTTCCGGTCTCCTGAGTACATGCATGACTTGTGGAAAGCTTCAGCCACAGGACCAGTCCCCTGTGGGCAGGGAAAGGGAATTCTGCAGGAGCTTTCCTCCAAACTGTCGCCCCTCCCAACCCCCACTACGCCATCCATCCCTTGATCTAAAACCCTAGCCCCCAAACCCTGAAACCCAACAAGCCCAAATAAACCCCCAAACCCACAAACCCCAACTGAACCCCAAACCCGAAACCCTGAAAAAAATGTGAACCCCAAACCCTAACGCCAAAACCACCAAACCCCATGCATGGTTCAAGTCCCAGGCCTTCTCTTGCTTGGCATGGCTCTTGTAGTGTCGGGCATATTCCTTGGAAGCAAGCGGTTCACGTCGCCTGGTCTATCAAGGACTACTAGCAGGGAGCCCTGACCTTAGGATTCCAAGGATTCGGTTGATCATTTTAGTTTAGGGTTGCTTTTTTGGAGACCACTTCTGTAGTTTAGGGTTGAGGGTTTAGAGTTTAGGGATTACTGTTTAAGGTTGTAGGGTTTAGGGCTTGGGGTTTAGGATGTAGGGGACAGGATTTAAGAAGGTGGCCTTAGGGCTTAGTAGCTCCTGCCAGAAGCATCATGTCCTCCACTACGTTAGGGTGTCTTCTTCCTCAGGCTATGCTGCGAGTTTCTCCTCATACTCCTTAGGACGGCAAACCCACATCATCTTCCCCAGAATTTTAGGATCCCTTACGCTACAACCCGCCTAATTTGCCACCCCCAAAGACTTTACCCCAACACCCTAAACTCTCAACCCCTAATCCCCGAATCCCGAGATCCCAAATTCAAACCCTAAGCCCTCAATCCAAAACCCTACCAATACCAACCCTAAACCAGAAAACCTAATCCTTAAACACCCCATCTGACAAACCCTGAGCCCTGGGCATCTCGGGGATTTGGAGCTGGCGAAGGAGACCGAGCAGCTCGAGTTCGAGCCTCGGTTCGCCCGACGGAGTAATACCCTCCCCCCAAATATAAAACACCCCAGCCCCCCTAATATTAGATACTCCCATTATATACATTTTATTGGGTTTGATATTAGGGGGATTTCAATATTCGGGGGCAGGGATTCGGGACTCTTGCCAGTTGCATGTCTAGGGCTGCATAGCAAGGGAAGCGAAGTGGTTCTCCTGCCGGACAAGAAGATTAATCACCTGATTGTTTCCAATAGCATTCACACACGAGACTTGGGAGACGTGCCACTACCTCATGCTATGCTATAGGATTCCGTAAACTCACTCAGAATCATACGGATGATTGTGGCTCAAGGACATGCCATTATTATGGGAAGGGAGCCCTGAGTCGCATGTCTTGATGGTTAAACAAAATACGCATATGTTCTTTGCCCGACAGACCACATTCAAAGGGAGGAGATTCTACTGAAGGCCACAAATATCCCCAAGTAGAACACTGATGTGCTAAAATCCTCTTCCCAGGAGATGAGAATTATATCCCCACTATTATAATATAGTAGTTTCCATTATCCCTATATAATATTATTGATCCTAAACTCTTCAACCGCTCGGGGCCCAGCGCCCGGGCGGCCCCCGCGGGGCGAGTAGGCCAACTTCACCTCTTCCTGGCACTTCAGTGCTCTTGGAAGCTATATTGGAGATCTATAGGGGTTATATTGCCTATAATTCTATAGGGATCATATATGAGGTTATATTGGGGTTATACTGGGATAATGGAAAAGAAAATGGAAACTGCGGGGATTATAGGGTTTACAAAACATAAGTGGTCCTTTTCCAAGACAGCCATATCTAAACACAAGAAATGAGGAAAGAATGCCATGAAACTACCTTAGCAAATGCGTGTCACCCTCTCCTTCCGTCGCGGTCTAGGCGGCACCACGTCTTTGGTTTCAGGCGGCAGCTCTATGCGCGGAGAGTGGCCTCGGACACCCCAAAAGCAAGCCAAGACCTGATTGAAAAAACACAGCAGTAGAGCGAACAGGAGCTGTAGTCTAACTCCTAGCATCCCCCTTAAGAACCCCCTATAGTAGTCCCCGATATAATCTCCTATATAAACGCCTTGGAGGAAGATTGTGGGGTCAGCGCCATTTCTCCCGTCCCAGGGCTTAATACAGAACTAATACAGAACTACCAAGCCCGACCCTGACCCTCTCCCTGTCCCTGGAACCCTAGACCCCAAGCGCTTAACTCAAGGCCTGGGTCGCCCCACTGTCAACATCCTACACTGCTGGAGGTAGTAGAATTTGTTTTTTGCCTCTGGGGTCTGTAGTAAGCTGGAAGCAAGAATAAGAAATTGCACTGCAACTTAGCACTCATGACCAAGTTGCCATGCACAGACACGGAAATTGTGAGGCACTACAAGTATAAGGACTCGATGATTTCCCTTAACTATTCATAATGAGCTCGCCACAATTCAGGGAGACAAGCTGCCAGCCACATCCGACAGTATAACCCTCTCTCTCTCTCTCGCAGACTTAAAGTAATCCCAAACCCACAAACTGGAAACCTCACTGAACCAAACCTAAACCCTATGAGGTACAGTCAATATTTCCTATATAATTTAACGGGGATGAGATTAGGGACTACACTCAACTACAAGAGGGATCCCTATGTCCACCCTCAATGGCCCCTTGGTAACCCTAATGTTGACAGTAGCTCATATAGCCCCGATAAAACAACCATGTAATCTCATTCTGCATTTGATTGTCCATGTTCTCTTCCATTCGATTCTCCCTTCTTGGGGTAATATACCCCTAAACTCTAAACCCTAACTCCTGGGGGGTAGTATCCCTAAACCCTTGAATGGTCCCTTGGTCCCCAAACCCTAAATGCTGGGGGTAACATCCCTACCCTAAACCCTAAACCCTAAACCCTTAATGGTCCCTTGGTCAGAAAGCCGATAACACAAGCCGGGCCCAGGGCCCTCTTCAGGCATTGCTTGCCCAACCTCCTCGCAGTCAAGGATCCAAAGATTAGGGTTTAGGGTTTAGGGTTTAGGGTGGCAGCTTCCCAACCCCCATTTTGGGTTTAGAGCTTAGGCTTCAAGACACGCCTTGCCCCAGCACAACACCCTCCCGGAGCCCCCGTCACACATAGATCTTTGGGTTGAGAACATCTAGTAACCCTAAACCCTGAACCCTAGACCCCGATCCCTAAACCGTAATCCCCTAATCCCAAAACCTAATACCTACTCCCTAATCCTAAACCCTAAACCCTCTGGCACTTTCAGGGTTGAAGGTCAAAAGATTCAGCCTGGACCATCCCTATGCCTCTTGTCCTTCTCAAGTCCCAGAGTGCCCCTATGGTCCCCCTTAAGTAAATAGAATATAGGGTATAGGGGGATCTTACTATAATGTACTCAACGCCAGATTCTATCTACTTAAGGGGGACTATAATCCTAAACCCTAAACCGTAAACAGTAGTTTCTATTTTCTCTTCCATTATCCCAAAAAAAATATTCTATCCACTTACGGGGGACTATACCCTTGAGAAATCCCCCCTTTAGTCGTTTATATCCCTTTCTAGTACTTAAGGGGGAGTGTCGGAGTAAACCCCCCTTTAACAGTCCAGCCCCACATATACCCTAGGGGTTTATAGTGGGGTTAGGTTGGGATATAATGGGGCTCTATTGGGGTTATATAGGGGTTATATTGGGGTTATACAACCTGTGCCTGCCCATCTGCACCCCCTTACGCACCAGTAATGTCCAACGCAGTGGTGCCTCAGCACCCGCGCCCTTCTTCTGGAGGTACTCCTCAAAGCTTTTGTCAATGTTCCTGTACATCTTCTTCGTGAGCCCCTGCCAGGACGGTATCTGTTGCTTCGCAAAAAAAAATGGAGGTCTAGACTCCAAGCGCTTCCTTCTCCATTTCCTATGGAGCTTCACTACAAGGGGCCTGCGCAGGGATGATGCACCTTGACCTACCCGGTACCGATGCAGCGCATGAGGGAAAAAGATAAGGACAATATGTTGGTTTCAGGTCAGTACAACTTGCCTCCACCTACTTAAAAATCCCACCCCACCAAGCGGGCACAGTCTTGACCCACTCTACATGTCTGGGACAGACACACACGCACAACACTTTTTCCCTCCTGCCTGGCTGTTACGCATGCCGGGCAAACAGATGTCCAACAGACATGCCGCTCATCACGAGCAACACACTTCGAAAACCGAAGTGAATTCACTCCGAAAAACGTCCACGGTACACTCTGTCCTGAGAGCTTGCGACTTGAGCAAACCTTGCAACCACTGTGCGCGGAAGTGTCGCTGGCTTGCAACCGCAAGAAGTGCCGCAAGTGCAGCCTCGTGCTTTGGCTCAAAGGCAGTACACGAGTGACATCGAGGGACTAGCGATCTGCCTCGAGAAGCTGCTGCGCCGCCCATACATCATACATCACTTCCCATTGCCCCTTCCCAAAAACCATCTCCACTTGGAAGCCTTGCAATGCTTCGCTGGACGCAGCCCAGAAGTCATAGGACCTTCTGTCGGCGGGCACTGCTTCTTCAAGCGCATGCAGTCTTTCCAAGAATTGATTGTTCCCTGCGAGACGCTCACGGAATTGGGCCATGGCGACTGAAAATGGTTCTTGACATTGAAGCGTGCCCTTGCCCTGGCCGCCCTTTCCTTTGGCAATCATCGGTGGATCCACAGCTCCACACGTCTCGTCAATTTCCTCAGCGTTTCTCTTCCAGATATCAGTCTCAACGTTGGCTGCAGAGAGGGCACCGAGTACATCTGCAGGAGCCGGATGTGCGGCAAACCTCTTGGCGGGCCAGCTGGGTAGACCCAATCGCTCCAGCGCGAACCTGTGCGGATCCCCCGTGTAAAGCTGAAGCCTTTCTTGGAGCTGCGCAGACGTCCAGGACCCCAAGGTTTGTGGAGCGGCTATGCGCAAAGGTCCAATAGGCAGTGGTTCCCCATAGAAGGCTTTGGGAGGCCTTGCCCAGGCATCGTTGGCAGGCTCCGACATGGCAGCTGCAAACCCGGGTACAAGGTTGCTTAACTCACCCCATGAACTAGCTCGGCATGCTGCGGACGTCACTAGAGGTGCATAGTCAATCAAGTGGAACTCCTCTACAATCCAAGATGTGACTGCCAACAGCCCACCCTCCTCGAGAAGAAGCACCGCTGCCATCCAGCTGACGTTCCCAGTCAATGCGAACGTGCACGAGGATTGAAGAGCGAGAACGGCCGCAATATCTCCAGGATCGACGCCAGCAATCTCTCTCCAGGGGATCCACTCATGGGTCGACAGCATCAGGAAATTCAAGCCCACATGGTGAAGCCTCATTGCCTCGTGCTGATCTTCCTTTTCTTCGTTCCCAGCCGCCATCTGGCAAAGACTCTCCATCGTCTCCCACTGTTGCCCAGTTGAGCAGCTAAGAAGGTAGCCGTGCAAGGGGTACTCCATGGCAATGACGGGAAACATCTCAAGAGGCCGCAAAGCCATTCCAAACATTCTTCTACTTGCGCAGTCATCTGGGCAACGAATGCTGTCAGGGCAAGGTAGCCGAGAAACTGATATGTCGGCGTCGCCGGCTATCACATCGTCCAATTTGGTCTCATGCGTAATCATTGTTGTGTTGACGGCCAGGCGCTGTGTGCAGACCAGAAAGTCCCCATCAGTCTCAACTTCAATGGCCTCCTTCAAGTGGCCCCCAGTCCAGCCAGGCTGAGCATTGATGCGGCAGACTAGCTTGTCCAGCGTGTAAACACGGAGTGACGGCATCTTCGGGAAGGCGAAGGTCATTTACCCGTTCATGAGCCAAGTCTGATGAACAGACTACATCAATTCCCGACATTACAGTCCGTATTCGTGTCTACGAACTTTGAGCAGAAACGTTCAAAGTTGTCTTGCAGAGAGGACTCGAAACTACAACAGCGCGGCTACAGCTACGGCCCATATGGGCAGAACATTGTTGAACAAAGCCAGGGTCATTTAGAACCTATTTGTCGAGAAGACCCTTCTGAACCTTCAGGTTCCAGGTATGGCAACATGGTTTACAACTCAAGGAAGCCTTCTGATACTAACTTTCCTGTCACCCATCTACCCTAAACCCTAAACCCTAAACCCTAAAACCCTAAAACCCTAAACCCCTGAACCTCCAAGCATCTTCAAAGATGCGCCTTCACTGCGGAGTCCCACTTTGCGCCAGGAGGGAGATGATGCAGCAACTCTGCTGCATATCCTTTCTTGGGGTCCTGACATCCCCAAACCCTGAATAGTAGTTTCCATGTTCTTTTCCATTATTCCTATATGACACCTATATAACCCCTATATAACCCCTATATACCCCCTAGTAGAATAGCATCAGCATTCTGTTTGGGCGGGGGGGGCTCTCCCCTACTTCCCTCGGTCTGTGGATACGATGCAGTAAGAACCCTAAGTTTGATCCATATGGAAACTACTATAATATACAGGGGCTATGTAGGAGTTATATAGTGGTTATATAAAGTTTATATATGGGGGTTATATGAGGATAACGGAAAAGAAAATGGAAACTACTATTTTTTGCTGCTTGCATGGCTCGGACGGAAACTACTATTTGGGGTTAAGGGTTTTGGGTTCTATAGTTAACTTGCCATGCCTGCGCCACTACGCAGTCCTGTTGTTGCTGCTGCTCTTGGTCGACATACATATACATTTCTTCGTAATCTTCCACCTTTGCATCAGGCCACGTCATGTCCCCACAGGCATGGGCAATCAGAAAGGATCGGCTGCCCACGTGCTTGAATCTCTCCCAGTACTTCAGTTTGTCCCAATCCTGGCGAAGCGGAAAACATTCAAGCAGGCAGCATTGAACCACTTTATTCGCACCTGCGTCTCTTGCTTTCCAGACTCTGAGTATCCGCCTCGGTCCTTTCAGGGACACCCAGCTCTCTCCACCAAAACCTCAACTTCTCACGCGCCAAGGTCCTGGAACTTGTCCCAGAAGCCGGCAAACTGTTTCTTTTGCTTGTCTTTCTGAAGTCGCTCCAAGGTATCCAGGCCTCAGACTCAAGCCAACTGCGCATTCTGAGACTGATTTGAAGCCTCGGCTCCTGGCGCAAGGAATGCTGGGAGATTTCAGCGATCATTCCCTGGTCGTCGCACGCTTCCAGCGCCTGAACCAACAGCATTCCTAAATCTGCGCTGGTCACTGGCAAGTATCTCGCCTTGGCTAGAGCATCCTTCGCTTTGTCCAGGAAATCTAAATGACCATAGCACCTCTGTGACACAACTTGCGGTGTAACTACAGTCGGTATAAGCATTACTATTTCTATGATTGCTATAATTACTATTACTACAATTACAACTATTATTACTAGCATTACTGTCATTTTGCGATATCATTGTCTACGATTATCCGTTATTATCTATCATTATCTATGTTGATCCAATTTTATCGATCATCATCTAGTCTATTAGAATGATCAAGCAATTTCGCAGCCCAGGTCCAGACTGCGAAGCACGAAACCATGCTTTTGCTCGCGTCGTGCGAGGCAATCCTGGGCACTGGATACACTGCCTTGATGGGGGTTAGGATTTAGGGTTTAGGGTTTAGGGTTAGGTTTTTTTGGGGGGGGAGACCTTTTCTCCGGGTTTAGAATTTAGATTGGAGGTTTGGTTAGCTTGAGAATGCAGGAATGGGAAAAATGGAAACTACTATAATGGTATAGGGACCATTGTAAGGATCCATTCCTTCATTCCTAGCTAACCAAAGGTAAGTACAGTGGGACAAGTGCAGCCCACAACTTTGTAGAAACTTCGTCCAATGTGACGCAAAATCAGATCAGAGCCCAGCGAAACTCCACAAGGTTCACGCCGGAATGCCCAGACTTTCGCTCTGACCTCTGCAGAGTTTGGGGTTATATAGGGGTAATGGAAAAGAAAATGGAAACTACTGTAATATAACAGGGTATACAGGGGATATACTGGGGTTATATTAGGATAATGCCGGTTTTGGAAATCCTGCCCGGAGCAAAGCAAAATGGACTGAGCTACAGACTCCTTGATCTTGTGCCGGATATGCGGATCCGTGAAGAGCATTTCATCCCGGTGATTTCCCACCAGGCACTCCAGCGCTGAATCAAGGGATTGCTGCCAATCCTTCATCCTCAGTGACGCAATCGCTCCTCCCTCTGCCTCCTACAATATTTGGTGTGCACGGAAAGTCTTTGTCTTGGGGGGTTTTAAATTTTGGGGGAGATGCATGACACTGCCCATCTGCTGAGCATTCACATGAGCAAGATGTAAGGCATGGACTTGTAGAAGCAAGTGCTCTTGTTGAGGTGGAGGGTGCTTCTCATTACAACGACGTCGTTCCATTTTCTCTTGCCCACGACGATGGACTTGTCGTACGCCACGGTGAGCCTCGCGGTACCATGGGTACAAAAAACAACACCTCAAAAAGCAAGAGTGAGTCTGCGCATGGATACTCAAAATCGCACCACCTCCTAGTGGACATCCCCTGAATAATCTTAGAATACCGGAATGTCCACTAATGAAGGGGAGGTGTAGGTTCAGCAAAAACTTGGGAGGGGAGGAAAAGCCTCATAAGGATACTGTAAGGATCCCTAGCTGAAGAAATACTTACTGGTTCTTCATAGAAAAAGGAAATATGATCGCTATAGAATCCATATCTATAGTATATTCCCTTACTCCCTACGAAGAACCAGAAAGATAGGGGCACTGTAGGGATCCCCTTGGGGTGGGGAGCTCGAAGATCCCTAGCTGAGGAAATATTAGGCACCGGGCAGCTGCTCCAGAGCATCGTCCTCCCCAAGCAGCCAGGAGCCACAACAACTAGACATGTGCACATGTGACAACGCGTGTGCCATACACACACATATATATATATATATACATATGCGCGTTTCTAAAGAAAGGCATATCTGTGTACATACATATAAACATAGATATGGATACATGTGCACGAGACTTTGTTTATACGTGCATGGGCTTTCTTTCATGCTCATACTGACACTCTTTTTTTGAGTTTGTCTAGTCAAAACAAGTTACAGAGCCAAGCGCCAGAGTTCTGGGGCTCTTGCATACTCGGCGAGCGCCTGAAGCCAATGGCCAGGGCATGCTTTATGGCTCTCTGGATGGGTTGCACAACCCACCAAAAAAAAAACTGAACCCTAAGACCCTAAGCCGTTGTGCCTGAAACCTACATCTTAAATCCCAAAAAACCTGTAACCCTACATATTAAATCCCAAAAACTTGCAAGCCCTATATCTTAAATCCCAGAAAACCCGTAAGCCATACATCTTAAATCCCCAACAGAGCCTGTAAACCGAAACCCCCCCGAGCCTTCTCGAAGCGCTCCTTGCCAAAGGCCTCGTTGCCCGCTTCCTTGCGGGCTTCAGCCTCAAGTAGGAATGGAAATAGTGATAATCGTGACAAGAACAGTAGTAGTAGTAGTAGTAGTAGTCGTCGTCGTCGTCGTCGTCGTCGTCGCAGTAGTAGTAGTAGTACTAGTACTAGTACTAGTACTAGTACTAGCACTAGTACTAGTACTAATACTATTACTAGCAACACCAATTTTAATAGTTTCTCAAAACATTCCCAAAACACCCTCAATGGGAACCGCTATACCCCCTGGTCCTCCCTAAGGTTTCCTAGGACCCCAGATAATAGTTTCAATTCTATTTTTCATTATCCCAATATAACCCCAATACATACCCTTTCAAAAACTCCCAAGGGTCAAGGTGTTAGGTGTTGAGAGCCAGACCCGCTTTAGGAAGCCATAGTCTTCAAAGAGATCTCCATACTCATCGCGCCTCGGTCTACGGTGACTTCTCAAAGGGGTGTTTAGGGCAATAGGGTTTGGGGTTTAGGGCATAAGGTTTGGGGGTTGGGGTTAGGGTTCAGGGCTTAGTGGCCGCACATTGACCTATGAGTCTAAGCCCCTGGCTTCGGCCCGTCCGAGCCTCAAGCAGATCAGGCACACAGGAAGAAGAATCAACAACGCATCTTGACCCCCAATGTAACCCCAATAGTAGCCCCAATATAACCCCAATATAACCCCAATATAACCCCAATGTAAACCCATGCGCTTGCAGCATACATATCAGTTGCCCTAGGCTTCTTGTCTCGAAAGGGGACTTGAAAATGGAGACCTTAGGTGGACCCCCCAGCCAGTAATAGTGACTATAAGGAATCGTAAGGATTATATTAGGGTCCTAATATATTCCTATTATACCACTATTACAGGGTGGGGGGTCCTCCTAATGGAGACAATTGGTTTCGACAATCTAGCAGCTCTTGCTCCGTGCAGAGCCCCCAACCACCTTCGCCCGCCATGCAGCCGATAAATCCTCAGAGGCATCTGTCTTGGGTCTGCTGAATTTTTGCAGCTAAGTCATTTCCATGTTCTTTTCCATTATCTGTGTATAACCCTATATTATACCCCCGTGTTCCCTCATTCCCTACAAACCACCAGTAAGGCAATGCAGCCATAAACCCCAAACCCTAAGCCCTTAACCCTGAATATTGGAAAGGGATTATATTCCCCTATTCCCTACTCAGAACCAGTAAGCATATGTGCATATATACTCTTAAATAATAGTCCATTGTATTTTCCATTATCCCAATATAACCCCAATATAATCCTAACACAACCACAATATAATGCTAACATACCCCCAATGTAACCCCAATATAACCCTAATATAACCGAATATAACCCCAATATAACCCCAATATAACCCCAATGCAACCCCAAAATAACCCCAATGTAACCCCAATATGACCAGTAAGTATCTGTCCCCCTCTGGCGGCTTAAGGCCCGAACCTCGACCGCCGCGTTGAAGCGGGTTACTGAGCCAAAAGTTGACGTCGATGCAACGAGAATAAACCATAATATACTGAAATACAATATGCTATACTATACTATAATGTACTATAATATACTATTATATACTATAATATACTATAATATACTAGACTGTAATGTACTATACTCTACTGTAATGTACAGTAATATACTATAATGTACTATAACATGCCAGTGTATTCGAAACAACAAACCTGAATGAAGACCCCAAAGCCTATATAACCCCTATATAACCCAGCATAGTAGTTTTCATTCCCTGTGCTATCCCAATATTACCTACAGTCCCAAAGCGCTAACCTGAACAAAGCAGCTTGTGTTGCACCGTGCTGCCAGAAGGACAAGGCAGCCGTGCCAAGCAGGATATCATGGCAAAAGCTTCTGCAACGGCAGTGCTAACATGGGAGTTTCTCAAAGTTTCTGGCCTGTGCGATCCCGATAAATCACAAGGGTCCACGTCTTCCGTGAGAAACTCCCACATGGGCTTGCATGCTGCAACGTTTGCGGCCATTTTGTCTGCTTTGCTTGAAGCTGGTGAGGTCGACGGCGCTTCTGACCTTTCAGGCTTGGGTTTAGGTTGTTTTTACCAGCTCCTTTTTCCGTCTGCCTATTGGTAGTTCGGAAACGGCATATCGTGCAGGAGCGCAAATGGCATTCACCACAGACTTCGCTCCAAAATCATTCGGACGAGGGAGCCAACAAGCCGTTGGAGAGCAAAGATTCTCCCAAAACACTTCAAGTCAAGAAGGCTGTGGAGATGTTTCAGGGGCTTGGGGTTCAGGGTTCCGCATCAATCACACAGCAGGGTCCCTCACAGAATGCTGCAAGGATCTGCAGTTGGGGTTTAAGGTCGGAGTCCAGGCTGGTAACAGCAGCTCATTTCCTAAGCAGCGAGCTCCATATGAGCTATAGTCTAAACTCCTAGTATCCCCCTGAATAACCCTTATTATAGTGGTCCCTCACATGATCCCCTGTATAGTCCCCTTTAAGGAGTTTAGACCCTCAACGCTAAGCTCTATATACTCCCCTATATAACCCCCCTTTGAGGAGTTTAGACCGTAAACCCGAAACCCTATATAATCCCCTATATATCCCCCTTTAAGGAGTGTAGACTATGGATCATATCAAGCATAAAAACGGAAAACCCACACACGGAACAGCGAAAACGTTCACAGCGAAAACTGGGCTTCACTCCGATCCGCCGCCAACGCATGAATCATCACCTTCCATGGATTTTGGGGTTTTGGGGGTTTCGGGCTTTAGGGTTTATGGGTTTAGGGGTTTAGGGTTTAGGGGTTTGGGGTTTGGGGTCTATGAGATGTGGGTTAAGGTTTAACGGGTTACAACTCAATGCACGGGTTCAGGGCGTAGGGGTTTGGATAACGGCGGGGCAAGAGTGCAGAAGTCCACAGCAAAGAAAACGTCACCAAGCGAACATCATATCTGCTAACACATGAGGCTTCTCAAGACATGCCTACTTTTGCGGACCCTGGCGATCCGTGGGCATCATTGCAATTATATTATGTATGAAGAATTCTGGAATGCCTCTGAAAACCTCACACTTCTCCAACATGAGCCCAGTCCACCAGCGCAGCTTCTTGATTTTGGAGCTGGACGGCATATTCAAGCGCTGTCCTGCACACATGTGCTGGAGAACTGCCTGCATTTCGGGCTTCAAAGGCCCAAACAGGGAATCTTCAGAGCTCAGGCTTACAGAATCAGTAGGAAACCAGGGCCCACATGTCTCTGTCGCATACTACTACTCTATTCTGATTGCAAGTTGCATTTGGGGCGTTCAAAACTCTAAGCCCTGAGCCCAAAATCCCGAACCCTAAAGTCCTCCCAGTTTCATCTTTGAGCAAGGGATCCGCCCGCAGCCTGCCAGTTCACAGAAATTGCAAAACATGCAGGGTTGTGCAAACAGGTGTACAGCACCAGGTACCCTTAAGGCCCCATGCATTTGTCGAACAGAGGCCCCCATCACAGTCTAGATCTATGCGGTGCTTTTAAAGTTTTGAGGGGTTTGATTGAAATCTACAGGTGCCACGTGGTCTGATAAAATCCTTGGGCGGCCTCCAGTGGCAAGCGTTTGGGAGCAGGCTTCCCTCTGATATTCAAGGCAAGATGTAATCCCTGAAGACTGGACAAAATGGAAACTACTGCTGGGGAGTAGGTATGCATATAGGGGATACTATGAGGATCCATTCCTCTATTCCCTACTAACGATCAGCAAGCAAACCCCAGATTCAAACCCACAATACCCTCATTTTGCGCAATTACCTAGGCTCACTTCCAGTAAGAGGTCAAAAAGCATCATCCAAAAGTCGATAAATGCTAAGCCCTAAGCCGTGCCAGTTGATACCCCAAACCCTAAACCCTAAACACCCTATAGTCCCCCTTAAGTAGATAGAATAAGGGGTATATTATTGGGATTACATCGGGAATAATGGAAAAGAAAATGGAAACTACTATAGCATAAGAGGGTATCTATTGGGGTTATAGTCCCCCTTTAGTAGATAGAATATGGCTTTTGGTATGTTATAATAAGATCCCCATTTGCCCCATATTCTATCTAGTTAAGGCGGACTATAAACCCCAAAACCGCCTGAGGAAGTGCTGGCAAAGAGCAACCTGATTCTCCGTCGCGGCCCTCAAGGACCAGGAGTGCTTTTCACTACCCTGTCTCTTACCTACTGGTGCTCAAGATGTGGGATCATTAGAATAATCCCCATATAATCCACATATATACCCCTTTATTGGTACCTGTATTCACCCCCCAACTCCCGCTTAAGCACCAGTAGGTCTTAGATAGCATGCAACACAATAGCATAGAAAAGAACATTGAAGTCGGAAGATGCTGCACTATTTAGGGTTTGGAGTGGGTAATGGGTTCTGGAGGTCATTGAGCAGGTAAGTACCGGAATAATGATACAAATCCACGCTTCATTTCCCACAAGTACAGGCAACTTCTCTCTATGTCTAAACCACACAACCATAAGGCCGGCTCCAGTGTAGCAAGGTGTAATTCCCAGCCTGGCTTGAAACAGGAATGGGGTATATTATTGGGATTACATAGGGAATAATGGAAAGAAAATGGAAACTACTATAGTGTAATAGGCTATAGATTGGGGTTATATAGGGAATAATGGAAAAGAAAATGGAAACTACTATAGTATAAGAGGGTATATATTGGGGTTATAGTTCCCCTTTTGTTCTCCGTGCGGCACTGTTGGCAGCTTTATCCTAAACCGTCAACCCCCAAATGGTTGGTCCACGTGCGTTGGTCATGGCTCTTTGGGGAACTGTCACGAATGGAAATCACAACACATATAACCCCAATATAACCCCAATATATACCCTATTATACTATAGTAGTTTCCATTTTCTTTTCCATTATTCCCTATATAACCCCCATTAAACCCAATATATACCCTATTATACTATAGTAGTTTCCATTCCTGAGTTTCTCAGAATTCTGAATACATTCCTGGTGGATTTAAGGTTCATCCTCGCATAAAACCCTTAAGACCGAAGTGGGTGGTGTTCTTGCTGGTTGAAACAAACGACAGACTACGTTCTTCTCACAAAATGTCAATCTCACCTCATGATGGGCACTACAGCTATAGAATAAGGGGTATATTATTGGGATTACATAGCGAATAATAGAAAAGCAAATGGAAACTACTATAGTATAAGAGTGTATATATTGGGGTTATAGTCCCCCTTTATGTAACACACCTGCCGGCTGGGCCCATTCCACCGCACCCCAGCCGGACACGTCAACGGCCCGCATTGGCTCCAGGAATTCCTGAGAAGCAGCAAAACACTCACCCTTGACAGTCTGTATTAGGGGTCATATTTACTGGGTTGCAGTTGAGGAACTTAAATCAAGTTCTCATAACAGACCAGAATATAGGTATGTAGCAAATAGCAGGGTTTCCTTAACTGGGCTAAACAGGCCAGCCCACTGAGGTTGAAGGATGACTGGGGGCATTAACCTACGGAACTGTTTCACACGACTTCGTAAGCACGCAATGCTCCAAGGGAAGCGACTGCCTGCCAAGGGACTACAAAGGCACCTGAAAGGAAAGTCCTCTCTCTCTCTCTCTCTCACGACCCCTTTGTAAACTCAGTGTCCTTTTAAGTTTCCATGTGATTTTCCCTTATTGGCAATTAAACCGTACTTTGGAACCCCGAACCTTAATCCCTGGACATTGACGTCTAAACGGCACATTACCCTCGCAGACCCGAAGAGTCGGTGGCCTCTGGGATTTCGGAACTCAACGAGTCCAGGTGGCCCGCCTGGATATGTCACATAGGGTTTTTCATCGGACCCCTTTTCCGTCTGCCCGGAATAGTGGTCAGAGTATTACTATTATTCTCTTTCTTCTTACTTTTATTTCTATTATTGCTGACCAAGGCTTCGCCTTCTTGGCCCTAGAGACACAGTGTACACCTGAGTGCGCATCGATAATCCACCATAGG